TCAATGTGTGTATGTGCATGTTTGTCATTGTGTGTATCTGTGTTTCTGTGCACAGTGATTCTGGGGTGAAAAAGGTTAACCCCTTATGTATTCATTTACAGCTGCAAATTATGTGTGCAATTAATACGTGAACATAAAAGACCTAAAAGGACATCTTAAGCATATTAACCACTACAGTTTATAGTGGTTTAGGTTCAGGTCTTTGACCACAATTGTAACATTTATGACATACTTCTCTCTACAGCTTAACAACAGAAATCTTTGGAAATTTAAAGCAGCCCTGTCACCGTCTGGGGTACATATTTTGCAAAGCCCCTCTATGTTGACATTGCTGCTTGTTGTGCGGATTTGTGAAGATGTGTATAGATAATATTCCAGGGAAACTTACACATTATCTCAGTGGAAGCCGTTGGGCATGATTTAGGGTGTGAGAGAGAAAATACATAACATTTACTCTTTTTAGTAAATCTTAATGTTATATATAGTTGAAGAATAGTTTTTTTTTGGAAATGATAGTATAGTGTTAAAATACTAGCAGGAATATATTTTTGGAGTTCATGGAGCTATTTACTATTTACCTATTTACTAAACAGCGCATTAACAACAGAATTTTTTTAAGTTTTAGGTTTAATAGCAATTTAAAATCCTTTCTCAGATTTTAATTATTACCTTTGCCTATATACAATATGAAAATCAGCTGTGTTAATCATGTCATTTCAGAACACACAGAAAAAAGTAAGAAGCAAACATGACCAAAGATTGGATGAAAGCACTGCGGACAGCAATGAACGAGCAAAAGTGTCTTAAATATTGCATTATGGAGTCTATGAATATTTTTCTGCAAATCCATCCTTTAAGGCATCCTCTCCTTCCTATATACTCCTAAAAATTGAATTCCTGATAATCATTAAAGGAACTCTCCATGCACCATAACCACTACATGGTTTTGTAGTTTGTAGTTATGGTGCCAAGACTGCCATGGTGCCCCTCCAAAGTAAGTAGCCAAATCATTTTAGAATAGTTTAACTTATTATGTGGGGTCCACCAGGCTCTGCTCCCTGACCCTCTGCAGCCACCAGAAGAACCAGGAGCACTCATTGGCTGAGAGATATTAGCTGATGCCAAGCTGAGCTAAGCCCTGAGTAAGTAGAATACTGCAATATTTATCTCAGGGGATCTTATAGAGGCTCTCAGCAGGAGCTTCCAGGACTCCTGGCGGACCCCAGTATCCAGGGCCGGTGCAAGGATTTTTGCCGCCCTAGGCAAAAGTAAAGTTTGCCGCCCCCCCATGTGACATCACAATGCCCCACCCATATGATTTGCCATGTTAACTAACGCCAGTGCTGCAGTGCCGCCGTGTTTACATTAAAAGGCCTGCAGGGACAGGCTATAGACACCAGAACCACTACATTAAGCTGAAGTGGTTCTGGGGACTATAGTGTTTATTTAATGTGAGGTAAATTAGAGCTTAGTGCCACGAATAATATACTAGATTGCCTACTTACAACCAGATGAGGATGATGGGCTCTGGCTGCAGTCTGGCTCCACTGGTCTGGTGTAGAACAGGCTCTCTGGAGGCTGTTTGTAACTGTGGTCACAAAAATCAATGTTCTGGGAGAACAGGAAGCAGCTCCATTTTTTAAGGCCCTTTACACAGCTCAAGGTCTGGGTCCCAGGGTCCACCTTCATGTTCCACCAATGAGTTTGTTCACAGGGGGTGGAGTAGGGGGATGTCCTAATATGTGTGTAAGGAATGCATTGTGTGAATCTGTGTTTGTATATGTAAGGGCTGCAAGGTGTGTTTCTGTGTATGTACGGGATGCAGTGTATGCGTCTGTAAGGGGTGCATTGAGTGTGTATAAGGGGTGCATTGAGTGTGTGTAAGGAATGCATTGTCTGTTTCTGTGTGTGTAAGGGATGCGTTGTGTGTAAGGGTTGCATTGCTTGTGTGTGTGTGTTTGTGTGTGTAATGCATTGTGTGTTTTTCTGTGTGCAAGGGATGCATTGTCTTTGTGTGTAAGGGGTGCATTGTGTGTGCGTGTGATGGATGTCAATCTCTCCCCCCTCCCTTGTCACTCTCTTCTCCCCCCTCTCCCTCCAATGTCACTGTCTTCTCCCCCGCTTGTCCCTCTCTTCTTCCCCTCCCTTGTCACTCTCTTCTCCCCTGCTTGTCCATCTCTTCACCCCTCCCCACTCTCATTGCCCCTCCCTCCCCGTCAATTCCCCTCCCTTTCAATTTATTCCCCCCTCCCTTTCAATTTATTCCCCCCTGTCAATTTATTCCCCCCCCCCCTTTCTTTCAATTTATTCCCACCCTGTCAATTTATTCCTCCCTGTCAATGTATTCCCCCCCTCCCTTTCAGATTTATTCCCCCCAACCCTCCTGTCAGTTATCCCCTCCTTTCAATTTATTTCCTCCCTTTCAATTTATTCCCCCCTCCTGTCAATTTATTCCCCCCTTTCAATTTATTCCCCACCCTCCCTTTTCAATTTATTCCCCCCCTCTCCCTGTCAATTTATCCCCCCGTCAATTTATCCTCCCTGTCAATTTATCCTCCCCTCCCTTTCAATTTATTCCCCACCCCCTTTCAATTTATTCCCCCACCCTCCCTGTCCTTTATTCCCCCACCCTCCTGTCCTTTATTCCCCCTTTCAATTTATTCCCTCCTTTCTTTGTTCCCCCCCCCTTTCAATTTTCCCCCACCCTCCTTTAAATTTATTTCCTACCCTCATTTCAATTTATTTCCCTCCTTTCAATTTATTCCCTCCCCTTTCAATTTATTCCCCAGCACCCTCCCTTTCAATTTATTCCCCCACCACCCTCCTACCTCTGTTTGTGGCGTGGCGAGGCCCTCTATGGTCGGCGGTGCAGGGCTTTGTTTCCTGTACCGGCCGGACTAACAGGAAGTGCATATTCAGTGTGCACTTCCTGTAAATCCGGCCGGGTACAGGAGACAGATGCTCCCTGTACCCGCGGACCATAGAGGGCTCGGCCACGCTACAGAGAGGGAGTGACAGGAGGGAGCGCTGAGCGCTTCCCTCCTGTCAGCCGCTCAACTCAACTGAGAGCCCTTGGGCAGCTGCAGCATGAGGGGGGCCGGCGCTCCTGGCGGCGCCCCCTCCCAAGGGGCGCCCTAGGCGGCTGCCTAGTCCACCTAACAGGTAGCGCCGGCCCTGCCAGTATCTCTAGAAAAGTTTAAAGGGATCCTATAGTGCCAGGAAAAAAAGCATTAATTAATGCTTTCCTATGGGGAAAATCTGACGCTGGAGGTCCTCATGCAGAGTGTGAGGACGTCCAGCGTCAGATAATGGACCAAAGGTCCATTTTGATTCCGGAAGCCCTCTAGTGGCTGTCTGGTAGACTTAGACTTAGAGCTGCAATGACCAGGGCCTTCATCCCAAGGGTAAATTCTATAGGCCTTCCCACATATTTTACCACAAGCCTTTAACAAACCCTACCCTCAAGCTCGGCCCAAACCACACCCAAGCCCTGTCCAATGCCTCAACACAATTCCTGAAATTAGGATTAATGGTGGGGCATTGGGTCTGGCTTGTGGTTGGATTTGGCAAAGGGGCTATGAATCATATTTGTGACATCTGATATTTTAATGAACTCAGAGTATTATATAAACCAGTACTTAGATAGTAGTTATTTAATGTGCAGGCAACAGGTTATACAGATATATATTTGCATACATTGGCTCTCATTAACTCTTAAAAGCATCTTTGTGAATAAAAAGTGTTGTACTGACACTGACACACAGGCAGCAGTGAGAATGTTAGTCTTATAGTTTACAATGAATTTGTAACAGCTTTCTGTTTAGAAATTAATAAAAAAAATTCTTAACTCAAAGTAATATTAGACATAGCCAATATTGATAACATTAGCAGAAAACTAGAGAAGAATATAGACATAAGAAAAAAATGCAATGTAAAAGGCAAACAATATATAACAGGAAAGCCAAAATCTATATCCATGAAAAATTATTCAACTTGCACATCGATTCCCTACTTTACTTGACAAGCAATTGATATTAAGCTGTTTTTGTCTTCTGTACAAATGTCACTGTATAGAGTGTGTGTGTGTGTGTGAGAGAGTAAAAAGCCTAAACAAATTATATGACTCGGTGTACTTCATTTACAGGAAATTATTATACATCTGGCATTATTGCAAAAACAGCAAATTAGTCACTCAACTTTATAGTTTTCTAGACAAGTATGAAACAGTGCTTTAACTTGTAAATAAGAGTATTGTTTCTCTTCATTGATCATATTTGTGTAGATCACTAAACGAATAGCAATAATTTCAATAATCTTTGTTTGTACAAAGAAATTCTTTAAAACACATATTGGTATGTAGTAATGAAAAGCAGGAAGTGGGAAAAACCTGGAATTTATACAGTAGGAGGATGCTAATATCCTGTCTCCACCTATATGATTGTGAAACATATTAGCCATTTATATATTATCGTTGTCATTGCAGTGACTTTGCAGAATTCTAATCTATAACCATATTTGTCAAAATAATATATAGATTTTTGCATTGGATTAGCGCACAGAAAACAGAAATTGTTTTGGCTGGTTAAGATTTCTGCCAGTTTTTCTAACTTTTTCTATTTTCCCTGTTCTTTTTTTCCTCTATAATTCAAATTCATAACATTCAAATCCATAACAGACACTCCTTAAACCTTTCACTATTAAGGGTCTACAAAAAACACCTCCCCACAATCTGAGTATTTTGGGAGCTGGAGGGTAATGTTTAAGAGTATTTTTGTTTCTGTATGCATAAATAACTATTATTTAATGGAAACAAAAGTAATGTGTGCATGTTTATCATTGTGTGTCTGGTAGTGAGTATTCTTGTGCATCTGTGAGTGCAAATCTGTGTGTCTGTGTATTTCTGTGTCTGTGAGCATGTATATCTCTGTATCTGGGAGCATATGTGTGTGTGTGGGGAAGCTGCTTGTGTTCTTGATGTCTGCATTATGTTTATGGTGTATCTCTGTGTCTGTGAGCATGTATGTCTCTGTATCTGGGAGCATATGTGTGTGTGGGGAGCTGCTTGTGTTCTTGATGTGTGCGTTATGTTTATGGTGAGGCTTTGTTGGGTATGAGGGGTGACTGTGTGTGTATAAGAGTGACTGCGTCAAGTGACTGACAAAATAAGTGGCATAGGGTTACTGTGACTTGGATGAGTAGTGAGTGTGGTGGATGAGAATGACAGGGGGTAGATAGTGTGTGGGGAGTCTGTATTCTTTCTGTCCATCCTCCCCACACACTGAAGCTCGTTTTCTGTTTGCTTGTTTTAAATTTAGTTGAGCCCTTATTCTGCATATGTAGATTTCCCAGTGGTCCTTGGTTCTGTGGGCTTCTAAGTAGATCTGCAACTTTTCCTCTCAACGGTACAATACATTCATTGGAGCTAGATAAGGGTATCCCCACTATTATACAGCGCCCCCTCCTTTTGCAATCCCAGAATCCCATTGCTATCTTGTTATCATATTACCCCAGACTCCAACATGCCAATGGAATCCCACATACCTAAACATAGCACTATACCAGATACAATATAAATCTATTTCATGTTCTACTTGCACCAAATGGAGAGAGATAAGATATCAAAGGAAGCTTATTTGCAGAAGTGTATGTGAATCTTCCATATTTTTCTATGGGAGAACATTGTTACTCTAGAACTTTACAGCACTGCATGTATGCTCACCCTGACCTGTTAGCTGTTTTTTTTTTCTTCATGAAAAAATAATAGTTTGAAGCATGAGCATAAATTATTGGAGTACGCAGAATTTCACATACATAAAAAAATAATCTTTCCCTATTAGTGCTACTGTATGGTACCCATAAAACTTTTATTTTGTACAGCACTGTTATCGAAAGCAATGGGGGGCGCCTGCATTGTTTCGGAGATTTCAATAAATATCTGATGTTTGTACACATTGTGGCAAATAATTAGATCATAGGGATTTGTTGCACAGTCAGAGACAAATAAATATTACTTCTATTTTCAGTTTATTTTTTTAAATGCATCATTTCTATTAAACAATACATTCTAGAGTTTCCCTTTTAATACTGATAGGTCTATTCACTAAAAAGTAAATTAAAAACAGAAATGGATAAATTTAGACCAACATAGTGGACGTAGTGTAAGAAAATCCTTAATCGATACTGCCAGCTTGTCTATATATATATATATATATGATCCTGATGAAAGTCTGCAAGGACTGAAACGTTGATCTTGGATGTTTTAATCATTTGTCATTAAACTTTGGACTTTTACTTCGTGAGTGCAGCCATTTACTTGAATTCCTTGGATATTGAAGCTACTTTTTGGTTGGCACCCGGCTACTAAGGGACATTGAAGCGTGAGTGCAGGAGCAATTTTTTTTTTTTTTTTTTATATATATATATGTATATATATATATATAAATAAAATTGGGTCTATAGGAAAAAGAAAAATAATTCTGTGCAGATGAAGTGGTACCAGTGAGTTGGGAAAAAAGCAGAAATAAAAGGTCAACAACCAAAAGTCATGTTAATATGAAGTCCATAAATATATGTACCAATAAATGTCCAATTGGACATAAATAATAAAAGGTAATAGTCAAAAAGTCCGCAATGTATCAGCTTGGTATTTTGCAACATGGATACTCCTGCTATAATGAAAGCCAGGAGATTGCTTGAACAGCTGAAATAATATTGTATATTACTAAAGCCCAAAATGAATTAAGTATATATACATGTATAGCACAAACTCAAAAGTGGTCGTCATAGAAATATGAGCTTTGTGGAGGATATTTCCAGAATCCGATGGATAAGTGGTGCTGGCATACGTGGCACAACGCATAGATAGAGACTGGAGTCCGCACCAATGTCCCTTCAATTCTCTCCCAATTGCCTGCTTTGGAGATGGTGGGGGGTTTTGGGGTAGATGTTCGCCGCTGGCTGATACCCACATGCATTCCACTGCGGTCTGGTTTGCGTTCCACTTCGCTGCACTCAAGTGTGAGAACCTTACGCGTTTCGTGATTCAAATGATCACTTTATCAGAGTTCTTAACCAAGGTCTATCTCTATCCACAACTTAATGTGAAGTGATTATACCACTTTATATGCACAAATATATCTACTCCTGGTTTTTGGTTTGAGAATTCTCTTTCTTTTTCCTATATACCCAGTATAATTTGTTTTGAAGCCCAGGGGGGCTTTCTTCAACTGGTAGAAGGATATATATATTAACTTAGAGCATCTCTATATTTCCCTGCCTTTGGAGTCCAACAGGATTAATAAAATGTGTTATTTCTTTTTCTTTTTTGGTTCTCTATATTTTTGTTTTATATATATACTGTAAATTACATTTTCTGTTAACATCAATTCACTGTTTAGTGGATACACCACTTGAGTTTGGGTGGTGTTTAGGCAGATGACTTGAACAAAATTTTGTCTAATGGGTATTTTTTAAAATTCAGATGACAACTGGAAATCAGTGACTGCCCATTCATGAAACTGACTTGGAAAAAAACTTACCTTTTTCAAGCCAGGTTTATAAATCCAAGGGCCTTATGGCACCATAACAACTTAATTTAGGTGAAATTGGTATGGTGCGTAAATAGTCTCTTGAAGATCATGTGATGTCTGTGGACTCTGAAAATAAGAAACTTGCCAAAATGTTTTACATTCCCACGTTGCCTTTGCAGAGTTATAGTCAGCGTTTTGTCTCTACGACAGCATTGAGCTAAAAGAACGGCTTGTAGAATAAGCTGTGCCTCGACGTATTTGCCAGTTAAAATGTACATTATTATTATGAACTTTCCCATAAAGGGTCAGTTTAAGAGATTTTAGCAAGGCATCTGGTCCAGTGATATTTTGGATGGGGAGAAATGTCATATTTCACCATCTACTCAAGCCAAACAGTGCTATCCACTAAAGTTCAAAGCGAATATCAAATGTAAGGCCAATATAGCCAAAATGAAAACAGAATTGACTTTTTTTTAAATTAAACTGCTATTTTGGCCTAAATTGTGAAATTCACTTTCATTTCCCAGAAATTCTTACTTCAGTGACTATCTCTGGAAGTGTTATGGTAGAATAAGGTCCTAGAGTGGCTTAAAGGACCACTCTAGGCACCCAGAACACTTCAGCTTAATGAAGTGGTCTGGGTGTCAGGTCCCTCTAGGATTAACCCTTTTTTTTTTATAAACATAGCAGTTTCAGAGAAACTGCTATGTTTATAAATGGGTTAATCCAGCCTCTAAAGCCTCTAGTGGCTGTCTCACTGACACCCGCTAGAGGCGTTTGCGTGCTTCTCACTGTGAAAATCACAGTGAGAAGACGCCAGTGTCCATAGGAAAGCATTATGAATGCTTTCCTATGAGACTGGCTGAATGCGCGCGCAGCTCCTGCCCCGCATGCGCATTCAGCCGAAGAGGAGGATCGGAGGTGGAGAGGAGGAGGAGAGCTCCCCGCCCGGCGCTGGAAAAAAGGTAAGATTTAACCCCTTACTCGCCATCCAGCCCGGCGGGAGGGGGACCCTGAGGGTGGGGGCACCCTCAGGGCACTATAGTGCCAGGAAAATGAGTATGTTTTCCTGGCACTATAGTGGTCCTTTAAACTATGTATATCTGATTTACAGATCTATTAGTGATCATTTGAGATTAAAAAAATATATACTTATCTTTTTTTCTTCCTACAGAATAAGACAACTGTCTCATTTATAGCTAAAGCCTTTGGATGAGACAGTTGTCTCAAAGTTATATGTATCATTTATTTTAAGATTGAAATACAGGATTATACACTCACAGGGTTAGTCACTGTAGTCAGAATTCTACATGAACTTAAAGTGAATTTCAAATTTGAGGTTAAAATGGTCGAACTGGAAAAATTCACTAAAACAGCTATGCTTTCAGTTCATTGAACCCTGGGAGTCAAGTGTGAATGTCCACGACGAATTTAATGTGAATATGAGGTTTTAGCATACAAATTGCTGAAATAAATACGTAAAAAGGTCTATTTAGCCAGTTATTTAAAATTCACTTTTAATTCACTGTGATTTTAAGAAAATTCACAATTTAGCGAATAACCCTGATGGCAAATATGCCCAAACTGTTCTTATGGTACACATGTGCCCATGTCATGAATTAATTAATCCTTAGGAAAAATAGTGCTGGTGCACAGGAGAATACTGGGTGAAAGAATAACTAGAATCTGCAATTGAAAATGTAAGACAGTCAGTTGTATTAGACTAATGAAACTCACACACACACACACTAATGAGTGTATGCTGAGGTGCAGACAAAACTATCACTTAACACCAATTGTCTCCTTACTGCTGTTTGATCTAGACATCTGGTTAGTAAAAAAAACTGTCAGTCTTCGCACAGCTGCTCTGTAGGTGTAAAATTCCACACAAGCTACAATCCTAAATATTGGGCAGATCCCCTTACCTCCTTTTCCCGTCTGCTCATTTAAACATTGCTCTGGAAACTATACGGAAAGCAAATGTCAATAGGTCCACTGTAGCGGTAGTGGTTAAAAGAACACTTTAAAAATAATATATGTATTACTATATATATATTGTATACTGCCCTCCTTCTTTTAAATGACAAAAGGCAAAAAAACAAAAAACAAAACCAATGTAAGTATTACCTGCAAAACATCACCTTAATAGTCTTCATGTAGCAACCGTGCAGCCTCTTCTGAAATCATCCATGCTGATGATCTTCATCCAATCCAATGCGTTTCACAAAGTTGCAATGATGAACTACGGTGCATGCGCGGAAATGGCCGTGCGCCACCAATCCTGAGAGCATTAACATTGTTCATTGTCATTATGCTGTATGTGATAATGCTTAATGTGAAGACATTCAATTTCTTGATTTCTTCATGAGTGTGACGTCAGTCTGACAGCCACTAGAAGCCGAGTTATCAGACAAATGTAATAATTACTTGTCGACCTGAAACGTCAATATTTTATATTGTTCAATAAAATGGTTACAAGAGTTACTCCAACGTCCATGATCACTTATGCTTTTAAAAATGGTCTTGGAGCAAAATAGCTGGATTTTTTGTGTTTTAGCCTGAAACCCTGCATAACCATAGTAATTAACACTTTTGTTCCAGGGCCTAAATGTACCCCCAGCACACGTGACATCGGTAGCCCAGAACTCTGTTCCAGGCTGATTAATGTCAATTCTGTGCATATTTTACATCTGTCGTCAGTACGCACTGCACGCTTTCAACAGATGTTAAAATCTTCTCGTTGCAGGCAGATGCTAACAACTAACAACAACATCTTGCATACTAAGGCTGCCAAGCAGAGGCTCTACCAAGTGGCTGTCTAATGAGGCACCCCGTCGGTTTCAGTGACAACTTGTCTCTGATGCCAGTGGGCTGATGGACTGCAATTGGGGGCTGGTAACTTGTATGGATCAGAGTGTTGCCACTTGTTACCATGGCGATGCTTTAAGTCTTGAACAATGTCCGCCCAGGGAGCATAGCACTCACCATGCAGGTTTTTGAACCAGCTGGGGCTATTTCTGTTTTCAACGTACATTGCACCTAAGGAGACTGCAATTCAGTGCAATTGAAGGCTTTTG